AAAATCACTTCAACAACTGTCCAAAGGATGAATTAGTGTAAGGGAAGTTTGAGGCAGAGAGACCAATTATTGTAATAGTCCAGACAATAGGTAATAAAGGTCTAAACTAAGGGTATTATTAAGTAGTTAGAAGTGGTTAGAAACGGGCAGATTAAAGAGTAGATGTGGAAGTGGACACGAGATTTAGCTACTGATAGAATATATTGAATGATGGAGTGCAAAGAGTCAAAAGACTGGAAGGACAGTAATAGAGAAGTTTGAAAGAATGGTTTGAAGAACTGAAAGTTCTAGACATACTGAAGTTCAGATATACAATTGGATATATCCAAAAGGCAGCTGGTGATGTTGGACTGGAACTTAGAAAAGAGTAGGATTGGCTATATAGCCCAAGAGTCATCTTCACAGAGATAATTAAGCCTATGGGAGTTAGTAAGTTCACCAAGTAAGAGTACAAAGAGAGAAGAGGAAAAGGCCTGAGACAGCCTTAGGGTTTACCCATAGTTAAGGGTCTTGACAATGGTTATGATTTGACAAAGGAGATAGAGAAGAAAGTGGAGGATGAGAATCAGGACAGAGTAGCACAAAAAGCCAGAAGGCATTGCAAAGAGGTCAAGAAAGATAAGGATTGGGAAAAGGCTCTTGGATTTGGTCATTAAGGGATCATTGTTAACTTTGGAAATAACTATTTATTTAAATGGTGGGTGAGGTGGGAAGCCAGATTTATAAAGTGTTGAGAAATGAAAGGAGAAAAAGTGGCTGGAATATAGCTAAAGATATGTGATAACAGCTTAAGGAGATAGGATAGTAAGAATTTTTTGAAAAGCAGCAATAAAGAAACCAGCAGACTAAAGATCAGAGAGGGAACGATTATGGTGGCAATCTGCTAGAGAAGACTGGAGGGAATGGGATTATGGGTAAATGTAGACTCATTTATCCTGGGTGAGAAGAGCTACTTATTCATCAGAGACTGAAGTAAAGAGAAGCGATGATGACTTTAAGGAGCTGTAAAATGTAAAGAAAGTGTGACTTTTAATACCCGACGAGAGGAGTTCCAATTCTGAATGAATTACCAAAAGCTTATTGGATATTTCAAACTAGATGTCCTATAGGCATCTCAAACTCAGCATGTCAAAAACAGACCTCATATTTTCCACCAAACCTGCCATGTTTCTATCATGGGCACTACCATTTATCTAGTCACCCAAGTGGGAAACTTTGGTGTTATTACTGAATCCTCCTTCCCTTGTTCCACACAGCCTATCACTTGCAAGTCGTGTTAATTCTACTTCTATAACATCTTTTGCACAGATCCCTTTTTCTCTACTTACAAGGCCATAACCTTAGTGTAAGCCCTCACCACACAGACTATAACAATCGCCTTCTAATTCTCTAATCCATCCTCCATATAACTGCCTAAGTGATATTCCTAAAAGTATAGGCCTGGCCACATCACTCCCCTGTTCAACAAACTTCAATTGCTCCCTATTTTCTTTAGGATAAAATACAAACTCCCTTTGTTGGATATTAAAAGCCACTCACAACTTGAACTTTTTTTTTTGGGCTTTTTGGTGAGGCAATTGGGGTTAAGTGACTTGCCCAGGGTCACACAGCTAGTAAGTGTCAAGTGTCTGAGGCCAGATTTGAAGTCTGGTCCTCCTGACTCCAGGGCCGGTGCTCTATCCACTGGGCCACCTCGATGCCTTTTCAAATGAACTTTCAAAGTCCTACCAAACCACACAAGGCCTAAGGACAAGCAAAATAGAACTTTTACATTTATCAAAGTTGACCAGGAAATATCTGTTTCTGCATAGAAATATCTATTTTTATTTTTAATTAAAACCTATTTCCTCACTAGTAATTTAACTGCTTTAATTTATAGAATGTTTTAGAGCAAATGGGAAAAAATCTGAAATGGGAATAGCAGGTGGGATAGTATTTAGAGAAAATTCCCAGACTAGTTACACAATATGTTTAACCAATGTCAACTACTAAAACCACAGAGTAACTGCCAGGTTGTTTTCAACAAGAATCAGTACCATTTTCCAATTAACTTAAGTAATTTCACAGCTAGCAGCTTCAGTAAACCTTGGCCTACATTCCAGTTTGGCTGCTACTTGAGAGCTTAACCTTTGCCCTACATTCTAAACTCGCCAGCAAACTTAATCAAATAGCTCCAAGCCTTATGAAAATATACATATGTCTTCCACTAACTAGGGTTCCAAAAGAAGAACAGATTATGTTGAAACCAGTATTTTGAAAATGAAAGCTTTAATCATTTTCTAACGGGGGGGGGGGGGAAGAGAGGAATGGGATTAACTTTCTAAGTTAAAAGGGAAGAGGGCTAGTAAAAATATCTATTCTACCCGGAAAACGCCTTCAATCTACAAAAACAATTTTAATTCATTTAACACCTACATAATTAGAAAGCTATATTAGAGGTAATAACGTTTTCCCCCATTGCTACAGAAAATAAAGGGTTAAGAATTCAATGTTAAAAAGTGAATTTTGGCTAGATCAGATTCACTAGTCAGCCATTCAGCCTCAAATTTACACAAAGGTAATAAAAGTCATTAGCCCCTAAAAGTGAGAGGTCAATCTCTTATCTTTAAATAGGTTGATAAGTTATTAGGCTTGGGTTCAGGCAATTTAAGGCAGAAATTACATTCCATACACAAAGGCAGAAAAAAAAATCTCCAACCATAACCTTCAATTAGTCAAAATCTGTGGCTATATTAAAAACCTTAAAATATCCTAAGATCACACTGGATTAACGACCTCATTAGCGTAGATACTCCCCAAAAAGAGATCAATTAATACTTGCCTTCCCATTCTGTGCAATTCAGGTACATGTTTTTCTGTAATTACAATCCCAGTTTTTTTGGCCGAGACGTTTGACTTCATTCATGTGGTGAACTCTAGAGGTGGAAACTTTTACCAATTCATCTGTAATTTATAATTCAGAGATCTGCCTGGGAGCAGTGAAAGGTTAAGTGACTTGCTTAGGGTCACATAGCCAGTATGTCAGAACTAGAACTTGAACCCAGGTCTTCCAATCTCCACCACTAGCCCTCTCTCCACTTTTAATAAGAGTTAACATGTATACACAACTTTAAAATCTGCAAAGCACTTTACATATATTATCTCATTTGACCCTCATAAAAAAGCTGTGATGTATGTCCCCATATTATCACCATTTTACAGATGAAGAAACTGAGGCTGACAGAGGTTAGTTAAGCAACTTGCCCAGATCTGGGACAGGTTTCAAACTGGGATCCTCTTGACTCTAAGACAAACATCTTATCTACTTACATTACTTAAATGCCTCTATGCTAGGCCTCTCAACATCAGCACAAATGGAAACAATTTTTAAATGATAAAGAATATGGAATCATAGAACGTTAAAGCTGTAAAGGGTCTCAGAGATCAACACTAAAATGGAGGACTGGAACACATGGTGAAACAAAATCCAAAAACTTGGAAAGAAAGATTGGCTCAAGATCACCTAGTTTGCGGCAAAGCAGACTGGACTTTAGATCATCTGATTCCTATGCTCTAACACTAGTCAGAAGACTTGAGTTCCAACTGAATATTTACTTATACAGTCCCAGTCACATGAAATTAAACAGGTAAGAAAAGTCCCCTAGTCCAAACTTAGAAGTCAGCTCACCCACATTAATACTGTTACAGCAAAGTTACTCCAGAAATCGATTTTTTTTTTGGGTCAGAACTGCAATTTCCTCTACTCCCTCAGAAATTCCCAACACAATGCAATTCAAATTGGCTACCAGCTTGTAATTTACAGTCTTAATTGAGGTGCCTTAGAGCAGTCAGAAGCAACACTGGAACCCTGGTCTTCCTGGCATATAATAGCTAAATAAAAATTCGTGCTGAATTGAACTTAAATCAAAGTAATCCAAAATTGGCCCATTATCCATTACTGCTGCAAGAACAGTAGAGACTCTGGACCTGTGATTTTATTAATATAGGAAACCCTTTCTACCAATGCCTGACAACCTTTCCTGCAATTTACAATCCTAGCAGCCCGGTGTACTAGAAGTTTAGGATTTACCCAGGGTCACACAGCTACTATGTGTCAGAAGCAGGATTTGAAAAGAGTTTTCAAGTCCAGCTCCCTATTCACTATACCAGGATAAATCTTACCTGCTGCAAAAATAGTTTAAATCCTGAAAACAAGTTGAAAATTATAATCAACCAACACTGTCTACCGACAAAAATTATTTCTCACATGAGGTATTTTTAAACTAATTGATAGTACAAGTTCTGTACTATACTCTTCGTTAAAGAGTACTTTAAACAACAGTTAATTTGTATGTAGCTTTCTAAAGTTTGCAAAGTTTATTATCTCATTTAATTCGACGAGATAGTAGCTATTCTTTTCCCCCATTTTATTGATGAGTCACAGCAGGCTCAAAGAACTTTCCCATTGCCATACCGGCTAGAAAGCGTCAGAGGTGGGATCTGAACCCAAGTTCAGAGCTAGACTAGCTCTGAAGGTAACAAAGGTGGAAATAAGAAACGAAAGGGGCCTTCTGACACCTGAAGCGCAGGGATGAGGGAAGGATGGGGGAGGAGCGGGTCCGGGTGGCAGCAGTGAAGAGAGCGCTCGCCGAGGCTGGGCTCGGGGTACTCGGCTTCTAACTCTGACTCTGCCCGTGACCTTGGCCAAGTCGATTCCTCTCCAGCAGCCTCGGCTTTCGTGGGGGCTGCAGGGTGTGAGGTGAACCCGGAGGTCCCTTCCAGCTCTCTGGATGCAGAATCAAGGAAGAGTGGAACGCGAGCCGCTGCCGGCCGGGCGCCAAAGGAGACACGAGGGCGCGCCGGGCCCGGACGCCTCGAGGGCTGTCGGCCCGCCGGGCTCGGGAGCCCGCCCGGGGGGCGGGGTCCGGAGGAGCGGTCAGCACCCGCCACCCACCCCCAGGGGGCCTTTGGTCGCCCCCAGCTTCGGGCGGCCAGCTCCCTCCCTCTCCCCGCACTCTCACCAGTGAAGCGGCTGGCTCGGGAAGCCGTCAGGCGGCGGAGGCCTCCAATTGCCCCGGAGGCCACCATCTTGGACCGGAGAGGGCGAATGCGAGCTTGCGCCGGGAGTCGGGCAGTGGCGAAGCAGGGGTCCTTGCTGCCAGGGATGCTGCCCTCTCAGGCCTGCCCAGCACACTGCCGGAAGGGAACTGAGGCGCGGGAAGAAGCTTCCGCAGGCCCCGCCGGTCCTCTGCTCAGGCGGACGCGGGCGGAAGAGCCTCCCTTTCTAGTCTCAAGAGCAGACGACGCCCCTTTACATAGGGGCGGGGCTGCGGCGAGTTTCTGTCAGGCGAAGGCAGGGACAGCCCGAGGACGGGTAGGCTGGGGTGGAGAGGGAGCGGGAGGGAAGGTAGGGGCGAAGTACCGGAACCGATGGAGGGAAGAAGGGGCGGGCGGGGCGGGGTCATTTATAGCCTTCGGTGTCTTGTCACTCAAATTGGGCTCTAGTTCCCGGGATCGCTATCGGGCTGAAGGTCGCGCAGTCTAGAACTGAGGTGAGCTAGGAGGGAGGGCGCTTACCCCCGAACCCATCCGACCCGGGCCTCTGCCTTCACCGCTGCCTCCCTGGCCCTGGCTTGGCCCCCGGCCAGCCCTGCCCTGATTCGAGATACTTGGGGACGGGGTGTGGACAGGTGTCTGGGACTGGGGCGCAAAAATGGGGTGACTCGTGATCGCGGGAGAGTCGTTTTCTCTCTCTGAGCCTCAGTTTTCCTATTTGCAAAACGAAGAGGTTGGACTTAATCGCGATGAGCCTCGGTTTACGAATCTGTAGAACGAGGGGATTGGACCTTAGTCCTCTCGAGGCCTTAGTTTGCCTGTCTGTAAAATGAAGGGATTGAACTGGATGACCCTTCACGGCGGCCCTTCCGGTTCCAATCTTTGCTCTAGCCTGGCGTCTCCGAATCCTAGAAACCCTTACCACACACTTGGCATTTTACAAAGCACTTGAGGCAACACCATGGGGGTAGACTTTACGACTATTACTATTTATTTCTTTCTCTGTGTAAATTTACTCGGTGTTCTACGACACATGTGTTGAAAGTAGGGCCCAAAGCCAGTAGCTGTCAGTGTCAGAACGGAGTCTCGAACCCAGGGCTTTGGACTTCCAGGTCCAGCGCCTTTTAGAACGCAGATGAAAAACCCAGGAATTTGTCAAGCCTGTTTTGAATCAGCTGCTGCTAGCTTTTTTTCTTTCTATAAGCATTTAGTAATCGGGTAGATCGGAGTCACCAGTTGAGCCCAAGCGTTATTTGCTTGCTTCGGCAGAAGGTACTTAGAGCAGGATGATCGACTTTCAGAGGGATAAGTATTGTGTGCCTTAGACCCAGACTACCCCGCAGTGAGTGAGGCCTTGTGACATTTGTCACATTATCAGTCCAGTAGAATGGGGCTTGGTCCTGTGAATAGCTAGTTCTGAGATTTTGAGGGAGGAAAAATGTAAAGTGGGATCAGGAAAAAAGTGGTTGGTGGTTTCTGGAAATCGAAGAGGAAATGAGAGGAAGCAGTTACTCCTTATATGGTCCTAAAAATGCTTTTTGGTACATTAGTAGAGGTAGCTGAGGTCGGATAGAGAGTTCTGGGCAAGTCATTTTGCCTCCAGAGACTAGATAGATAATCTCTGAAGTTCTATCTAGTTACTATTTCTTGTTATCTTTAGAGGACCCTCCCCAAGTAGGCAGAGCTGGTACCTCAATTTGATGGATTGTACATCAGGTGCAAGTACTTCAGTTTTATAACCCAAAATGCAAACAGCATATGTTCGCTGAATTTTAGGAAGGAAATTGAGGAGGCAAAGCTTTGTCCATAACTTGACCCAGTTGATGATGTTATTGGAAAATACCACATAGGGATGAGTTGAAGGAATTTGGAATATCTAGTCTGGAGAAGAGACTTTTTTTTAACTACTTGAGTGTCAAGTAATTTGAAGGGTTGTCCTATTGAAGAGAGGGGTTAGGTCCTGGAGGTTGAAACCTGGAAGTAATGGGTAAAAGTTGCTAAGATAAGTTTAAGCTCAATACAGAGCTTTTTTGGCTAATGTGGAAATATTTTGCATGACTGAACATGTATAACGTATATCAAATTGCATGCCTTCTCAAGGAGGGGAAAAGGGAGGGAGAGTAAGAATTTGGAACTCAAAATTTTAAGAAACGAAAGTTAAAGTAACATGGAATTGAGGGGAAAAAATAAAAATAACATATGTAAAAAAATTTCAAAGGATATATGCCCAAATCGAAATGAGATACCTCCAGAGTAATGAGTTTCCCATTACCAGACATATTCAGGTAGATTGGTGACACTTTGTCATTGACATTGACTTGCTTGGGTACAGGTTGGACTAAACCTTTCAGGTAAATTCTGAGATTCTGTGAATCTGTGAAGGTGAGGTTCTCAGAGACTGTTACCTGAGCCTGAGATCACAAAACTTAATCCAATAAGCTTTTGTTAAGTGCTTTGCTGTGTGCCCAGAACTGGGGATACAGAGATAAAAATGAAAAGTTTCTGCTCTCAAGAAGCTTAAAGTCTATGGGGGAAAAGCAACAGCTGCACAGGTAGGTAAATACAGAATGTATACCATTTAAATACAGAGTGGGGTGGGGCAGGAGTGTATAATAACTGTGGGATAAGGAAAGGCTTCCTGTAGGAAGTGGCATTTGAACAGTGCCCTGAAGGGAGCTATGAGTTCGAGAGCAAAGGTGAGAAAGAAGTCATAGGTGGGATTTGGAAGAAATTCAGCAAACATGTGTTAAACGTTTACTGTCTATAGAGCACTAGGCTGCTTACTTTGGAGAGATACAAAATTTACATTAGTCTGAGCGCCCGAGCTCATGAAGCCTGCAGACTGGTCTATTTATTATCTTTAAGGCCAAGTCTGAAGCCAAAACTTCAGAAAACTTTCCTGGACTGTGCTAAACCTCATAGTCATCTCTCTCTCTCCCTGAGTCTCCTTTAGTAGTCCATGCTGCCTTCCTGTTACTTATATGTGTCCCATCTCCTCAGTTGTATTGTCAGCTTCTTGAGGCAGTTAGCATGCTGGATAGAGAGCATGGTTTAGAGTCAGTAAGACTTGAGTGGGAGTTCTTCCTCAGATCTTAGTAGCTTTGTGACCCTTGGAAAGTCATTAACTTCATTCAGCCTCAATTTCTTCATCTATAAAATGAGAAAATAATGGTATCAAACTCACAGGGTTGTTATGAGAATTAAGTGAGATAATATGTGTAAAGTGCATTAAACTGCCATATAAATTTTAACCATTATTATTAAGGTCAGGACGTTGTTTATTTTATCTTTAAATTTGGTTGATGATGAACAGGCAAGCGGAGCCATTTTTCTTGATTTCCAGACCACCTCTGTTGGGAATACATTGTTCATCAGACTTGGAAAAGACATTCTGAAGGAGAATTTCTGAGTCCAATTGGCATAGACTGCTTCCAACCCCCCTTTGTGGAAAGGAATGAGAGGAATAGAAGCAGTGTTACTTAAAGGATCTTACTTGGCCTTAACCTCATTTTGCTTGGCTAGATTGTAGACAAGAGGCAACATGGCAAACTTAGGTAGGCAGCGAACCTTGGAGTTAAGAAACGCTGAGATCTGATAGGCCTTTTGGGGCAAGTGACAGCTCCTTTGTGCTCTTTGGCTGCTTCTAAGATTATAAATTGAAGTGGTGAGAGTTTAATTGATTCCTTTAATTAGCATTAATCGCCAACTGTGTGCCAGGCTATTGTTCTAGGTGCTAAGAATGCCGAGGTAAGAAAAGTTTAAATAACAAAAAACCAAAACAAAACAAAGTGTCTTGCAGGTCCTTCTGGAATTTACCTTCTTTTGTTGTTCAGTCAATTCAGTCCTTTGACTCATTGTGACCCTATTTGGGGTTTTCTTGGCAAAGATACTAGAGTGGTTTGCCGATTCCTTCTAGAGCTCATTTTACAGATGAGTAAACTGAAGCAAACAGGGTTAAGTGACTTGCCCAAGATCACCAAGCCAGTATATGGCGGAGGCCAGATTTGAACTCAGAAATATGAGTCTTCCAGATTCAGGCCCTCTGTCCTCTAGCTGGGGAAAAATATTTTATGTATACATATGTATGTATATGTGTGGGTATGTATATATACATATATAAATTAATATACAGATATAATCACTTCATTATTATATATATAAATTGTATCTATAAATTGTTTTATACATATTTTGTATTTACATATATGTATATGTATGTATGTGTGTGTATATAAATATAAATTGGCGGGGGGGGGGAGTCGCTTTCAACAGAGGAAATCAGGAAAGATTTTTGTGTAAGAAATTATATTTGAGCTTTGAAGGAAGCTAGGGACTCTTAAGAGGCAAGGTCAGGAAGGAATCCATTCCAGGCATGAATATACAAAGGCACAAAAGAATGAAATGTCCTCTGTAAGTACCAGCCAGTAGTCCAGTTTGGCTAGAATGTAGCTTCTGTGAAAGGAAGTGATTTGTAGTCAACTTGGAAAAGGCTGAAGCAAGATTGTGAAGGGTTTAAAAGCTATTCAGAGGAATTATGGTTTATCCTAGAGGCAATAGGAAGCCACTAAGCTTCTGGGATAGGAGAGTGAAGTTGGTCAGACCTGTGTTTTGGGAATATCAGTCAATCAGCATTTATTAAGCACTAAGTGGCAGATACTTTGCTAGGCCCTAGGAATATAAATACTCGAATGAAACTGTCCCTGCCCTCACTTAGCTTATGGTCTGTTGAGGAGAACAACAAGTATACATATAAGTAAATGCAAAGTACAAAATGGTTTCTAGGTGAGAAAAGACTAGGAGTTGAGGAAGATCAAGAAAGGCTTCTTTGTGATACAGGATACAAATGCAGTTCCAGATCACCACAATAAAGTGAATATTGCAATAACAAGAGTCACAGCAATTTTTTTTGGTTTCCTAGTAACGTATAAAAGTTATGTTTACACTATACTGTAGTTTATTAAATGTGCAATAGTATTGTGTCTAAAAAAATGTACATGCCTTAATTAAGAAATGTTTTATTGCTAAAAAATGCTAACCATCTGAATCTTCAGTGACTGGTAATCTTTCTGCTGGTGAGGGTCTTGCCTCCATATCTATCAGTGGCTGCTGACCTATCAGGGTGGTGGTTGCTGAATGTTGGGGTGGCTTATTTTAAGGAAATAAGACAACAATGAAATTTGCCACATCAAATGATTCTTCCTTTCACTTGAACACTTTGAGGCCATTGTAGCATTATTAACTAGCCTAATTTCAATATTGTATCTCAGGGAATAGGAAGGCCTGAGGAAAGGGAGAGGGATGTCGGTGGAGCAGCTAGAACACATACAACCATTAAGTTTGCCATCTTACATGGGTGTGTTAACCTGAAAGTTTGGTTAGAGAAGGCAAACAAGTTAGGTGATACATGATTATATAGTTTATTCCCTTTTAGCTAGCGAATCATGTTAACATGGGAGCCAGATGTGATTCTGACTCCGAGATTGAGCAAAATGAGAGA